AAATTAAAATTGTGGTGTAAATAATAAGTGATTTAATACTTTATTACTAAAGAATACAATTCTGTGTATTTAGAGGTAATTTTTATAATTTAGGAATAAAAATAATATTAAAAAAGTATAGGCTTGGTATCAAAAAATAAATGTTTTGAAAGYGCTAGCTGTTATGATAAAAGCGTTTTTACAATTAGTTAGATTCCTAATGCTAAATAATACATTTTTATTCCCATTCATTTCATTAAATTACGAACAATTTTTTTTCTTCATAAATCTGTGTGTTTGTCTCAGTAATTAATTAATAAGAATATTAGAAAAATTACTCACTATATATGTTGCCATGAATTCGTATAAAATAAGCAAATTTCGCACTTTCAATTCGAACAGAATAACTTTGTAATGCAAGATAATAAAAAAAATAATCTTGGCCACTTAAAACAAAATTCTAAACTATGTAGGTTTTTTTTCGTCTTGGACTTTCATGGTGGTCAATAAATATGTTTTATAGACACCATCGGTGTTGTAATACGATCGGTTAATAAAATGGCATCTAATAAGGTGGATCATTTTTGACAACAATAACAAAACAGATGCCGTATTCAAATAATATAGCGTGTATATTATATCTATATAAGTTGTACTCTATAATACAATGATATACGAGTAGGGAATATATATAGGTGTATAATATTATATCGGAAAAATATTTACGATGAGCACTATTTTCTATACAACGCGATTTATAAAACGGTGTTTCTCTAAGAGGATAACAATTAACAATTATATAATTTTTTTCCTCCGTTTAGCGTATACGCACACATACAATAATAATATATATATATATATATATATATATATATAAATATATATGACATATGACATATGTATATAATATACAATAATAAGTACGAGTGATGTCGTCGTAATAATGTACGAGATGAGATAAACAGCGGCTTCGACAAATAGATACATAGTACATATATATATATACCTGTAATATGTATACCTATCGAAGACCAATAATAATTCCCATCGCATCACCTGCAGTGGCGGTGATCGGGCAAACGGGTTAGCAAAATCGCACGGGGGTTTAAGATAAAAAATAAAAAAAAAACCTTGTAAAATCGCCGGTTTGCCGTGAATTTTTCGCTAATTGCTCGCCGAGCTTTTCGAAAGAAAAAAACCGCCGTCGCGTCTATGTTATACCAAACGAAATGAAAAAAAWAATAATAATAAATAATCGATGCGAAAAAAAACCTACCTGCAACTATAATATACCTATATTACAACTACTCCTCCACACCTCGTCCTCGTCAACCTCATTCGTCCTCCTCGTCATTCTCTCKYAGTCCTCTACTCGTCTTAGTCGACGTCGTCCCTCTTGTATACCTATACTCGGCCGTCGCGGCCAAAGACGTTGTGGYCGTCATCGCGCGCGCGCGCTCGCGCTCTCAAACCGCCGCGCGTGTGTGGTCCCCGCGCGACAACAATACCACACGCAATCGACCGGCAGGCCGGACGATAATAATTAGCCAGTAATGTGCGCTACGTGTGTGAGAGATCTGTTGCCGCTGATCGAATGTTGCTGCGACGATCACGTATGGACCACGACGACGACGGTCGGATCGGAGACAGCCCGGCGGGCACTTTGCAAACGCGACGGAGGTTTCTTTCCCGCCGCCACCCTCGTCCGCAGTGCAATCGTCGCGCGCAGAGTAATATAGCTAATTGGGGTGCCAGACGAAGGTACAATAATTATTATTAAACGTATATATTATGCTCGTACATGCGTAACGTACCGGTCTTCAAGAGCGATATAGACACGATCCGGCCAATTTACAACGTCAAAAAATAAGTATAATATGTATTAGCGCTGCAGGTATAAATAATATTGAGTTATATATCAATTATATACATTATGAGACAATCGCATTCATTTCAGTAGTTTTTTTGGTCTTTAAAAAATTCTTTCTCTTGTTCGTGTGTATAGTACTGCTTAGTAGCAAACTATGTATAATATACTGACTACAAATAAAATTTATATATTACATTATACACTTACACATCAAAATGTCTATGCTTTTTAAAATGTAACTCGTTATTTATATTTTTTTGTTTTTCACAGCTGGTTCGTTCGTTATCGGACTGATCTTGGTGCCCTGTGCCATGTCCGCCCCCGCCAAATCGTCAAAGTCTCCGTCGCCGACGCCGCCGCGCCCAGTCATCGCTACCGGTACGCCGTTTTGGCACAACCCGTGTGGCACGCTGCTGACGTACGACGGTAGCGGTGGCGGCGCCACTGGCGCCATGATGAGCAGCGCCGTGGGCCACGACATTATGATGATGGAATCGGAATCGGAATCGGAGTCTACAATGCGGCGCGAAGAGGATATCATCCATGGCATCGTCGTGGCCGCAGATCAGGCCCTGACGCACGCCGAACAGTTCACCGGTGCTTTCGTAAGTACCCCCCACCCCCCATGATATCTAAAACGATATATTTAAAGTATCATTATTGTTTAGTTAGCGATTAGTTTGAAAATTAAAAACTGAAACAATATACATTTTAAGGGTTTTACACAGTTCAGTCACAAACCCGAAATTATATTTATACGGCATTATTACATCGGTTAATAACCCTAATTCAGTCCAATTTTTTAGTAATTGATACTCTAACTATAAGATAGCTGCCATAATATTGTCTGCTGATAGCATAGGCGCCCACAGAAATTTTTCTAGGAGGGGGCAATGTTAGGATTTGAGGATAAATATTATAATTTTACTAGGTGTTTTAAAATAATAACCTTTTTTATTATATTCGTATACAATATATTATATTTTATTATATTACAATTTATTTATACTTTAAATTTGTTGTATAGTATATAGTAATTTATCTATTCAATTAAAAAAAACATTTTGAAAAAGCCAGGAGGGGAAATGCCCCAGCTTGCCCCCCCCTGCGGGCGCCTATGAATCAGCTCCGTAAAATTAAAAGGAATATTGTTTTTTGAACTCAATTACGTTACTCTTCAGACTCTATTAGGTTATTTTTGTACCAAATTAGGTGCAAATTTGCCATTTAGGTCAATGGGAGATGGAACTCAACTGTAATACTTCCTATTAAATCTGCTTAGTATACCGAGCGTTATAAATTCTGGTAGCCTATCATTTTGTAGATTATCATCACGATTTGATTTCACCATTACACTACCAACCTATCTCCCCACCCTGAGAAATTAATATAATGACAGTTATAATATTACGGCCCACTAGATTTTGATAAAATAATAAACGACCAAAACACATATACAAATACCTTCGAATTGCGTCTATAATAATATTATTATGATCAATTCGATGTACAAGCATAATAATGTTATCACGCGGTATAACTATAATAGTATATTATTATATTATATTGCATATAGCATAGGTAGGTGTACACTAACATATTATAATAATAACATATTAATGTGATTCACTGGCGGCACGCGGCAGCGATGACAACGTGTTCGCGTGGCGCCGCCGCACGTGCGTTTCGAGTGCGCGCGCGTGCGTTCGACCCGCACCGCCACAGAGGGGGTCGCGCGTCGGCAACGGTCGAGATGAATGAAATACATGCGGCGGCGGCGGCGGCCAGAGAGAATCATCGGCGGTCAATTAGAAACGGTCGTCAACGCCGCCGTCGCGGCCACTCGGGTGTTTGGGAGGTCGTATATTTTCAGGGGCGGTACCGTGAAATACGTCCGTTAAAAACTAGTTACATTGTTTTCGCGTGTGCGAACAAACCGCACTCAGACGGAAATGCCGACCGGACGGAATAAAAACATAAAACATTAAATATAAAGTGTGTAAGTACGCGAGTGGCGAGTGTAATGTGTATTGCGAATTCGATGACCTGTGCTCCAAGGTGTATACAGTTAATAATAAGGATCGTGCATGTGTGTGCGCACGTTGTCTATACGATATTTTTGTGGTCGTACGTTTAAGTCACTGCAAATATACCGCGCGAGTTCAACCCCCTCTGCTGCTCCAAACCACGRRAAAGTCACGTGATATTAATAATATACCTACGAATAGGTATAGATATAGGATCGTGATTGACGTCTTGCCATGGTGTGTCATCGGTTAAACCTGCTGCAAAGAAAACTGTCATCGTATTGGATTTTTTACGAGAAGAACGCTCTATAAAATTCGTTTGTCCGCAATTATTTGACGAAAGCGAAGCGATAGGACGTGAAAAATGATAAATTAAGTTTAAATCTCTAACTTCTTTGTTACAGATACAACATCACAATGTTGTATAGCGCTCTTCAAATTCGGTAATGGATGCTTTAATAACGGTTAGATGAACGGAGATAGGGTTTACATCCTCGTAAGCAATTCGCCCAACTAGGAGGGTCAATACGGTGGTTTTTTCGATTGACGATCGGCTTCTTTAATCTAATAAACTATTGTTACGAATAATTAATAATATATAAATATATAAAATATATTGCATATTATACTAATAYGCATGCACAAGGTCCGCATATAAGCATTGTTGTTTTTTCAAACTTTCAAACGACACGTATAACACTGCATGCGCCGTCAATTTCCCACGGTCTGCAAGCGATTATATGCGCAGCCGCCGCCGCGTGTACGACAATGTGTGTAAACAAGAGTCGTCGTCGGCTTCAAAAAATACATTAGTTCGCACCTAAATTATTGTTTCCGTCGTCCGCGTTCGTGTGTGTGCGTCGACGAGCCGCGGTATATACATCGTAAACAATATTTGTATACGGCATGATATTATATGTATTGCATACGGGAAATATCGGTAAAAAGCGAGCGGGACAAAAGGCGTCGGTGGCACAACTGTGGCGGCAGAATTATTGACGTAGTTACGTTGCGGAAACGTATCGGTTTTCCGTTGCGAAAACTACCGATCAAAGCCGTTTACGACTTATAAGTATTATAATAGTATATAATAAAAAAGTACATCAATCGTCGTCATACGTGTTGTATTATGATGTACCTGTACGGCACTACTTATACTCAACGATTCAATTTATTCCGTGGATCGTAACGTATATCACTTGTTGTCATTTTTCCTCGAAGTGCACCGCAAAATTACGACATCACCGCCGCCGCCGGAACGTGCRTGGTTCTTATATTATTATGCCGCCTACGCCACCGCTGCTGAGTGTGCATATTATACAACTCGGGAAGTGATCAGGCAAAACAATATCTATTAATGGCCTTTGCATGCCGAGTTGTTATTGAGATGAATTAAAAGAAAAAATACAATATCACAATAAAAATATAATTACAACCCTTTCACGTATAGTTGTATTTATTATTATTATTCGCAAAGACGGAGAGTGACAAAATCTCGATCGCACGCGCGTGTACAGAACGTGTAAACAATAACGGTGTTTACGATAATATCAAATATTATAATGCGTTCGGTTAACCTACATAAACACGAATCCGTCAGCAATAACAATAATAATAAATATGATTCTCAACTGGTCAAATGATAAATCAACATTAGACGCCTACAGCGGCTACAGCATATAATAATTATATAATGCGAACTCTGATCGAAATTCGACGGTAAACTTATATTATCGCATCWATGCTAGTCCACTCTCGAGAACTCGAATCTCAGAAGTAAGAGGTGATAAAATTAAATTCAACTTCAGTTTTTTCCTGGTAAAATACTTTAAAAAAAAACATATAAAGTATAAACACTTCAAGAGCAAGAAAAAATGTTGAGTAACTTATAAAGTTTTCAAGTTATCGGGATTCAACCCTATAACTATATAAGTCTATAAAAGAAATGCTCCGAACTATATATTTTTATTAAGGACAATATWATATATATATATAGAAAGTGCTAAAGGGGAAAAAATATTCTGTTTACCCCTTATAAAAAAACGATGTGGCTATTATTGTATCTCTATATAATAAGAATCGTCTTTTCTGGATAAAAATAAAATATTTTTCTTGTCGTTCACTCTAATAATCTATATACCTATAATTACATTGAAACATTCGTTACATCTAACATCATATAAATTAGAGGACTTTTTAAAGGAAAATTTTTTTAACGAAATTTCGGATGATATTAATCTAACACTAATTTTGTACATTGTTGAATATTTTTGTTGTATTCAAGCGTATAAATTACATTTTTTAATAACTGCCTAATTTTTATCCACTTTTTTCGTATTATTATTTTTGGATTCGTTTTTCAATAGATGAAAACTAGTGACATGCGTAGAAAACTGACATTTCTAATGCCTACACGGATAATTGTTTAGAACGCGTTTAAACTAGACTAACCCAATCGAAWCCTCGTTATGATGACTGTTATCGTCAAAATTCATAATGATTAAAATTATTATTATATTTTATGCGTACGCAGTACGCACGAATTATACCAAAACTCAATACGTTTATTTTCTGGATGACTCATTTCGTTTTCTATCCGTAAAATATTATACGCACTATAACAATACAACMCGATCAGCGGAAAAAAAAATCAACGATAATTTTCGATATCTTCTAGATGTATGTGTATGTATTTATGCGCGTATGTGGTGTATAATAAACGATATTCGAAACGTCCGAAAGTAATATTCTTTTTTTTTCAGCGCACAGTTAGCGCGTGGGAGAACAAAAAACGGACAACAATCACACACACACTGAGGTTTTGAAGAAAAAAAAACCGCAGTTTACGTTATTTTATTCTGGCGTGAATGTTTTCGTTACACCGTCAGTTGTCGGCGGGACAACAACGAAAAAAAAAATAATAATAACGATAATAAAGAAAAAAAAACCAATGGTAAAATATGATATAATATTATAATAATACGCGCGGGCCGATACCTAAGTGATAACAGACGGTACCTGTGAATATATTTTTTTTAATTTAAATAATTCATTACTGGACACAGTGGTAACAATACTGACGACATAATATTTTATCTACATTAAACGCGCATTGGGTATTTGAGTCTTACTGACAGGAACTCGAAAGCAAATAATATCGTATRACTATTATAATTAACCGATAATATATTCTTATTAATAGACATGAGGTGTTTATGCGAAGCGTGCCGAGTTCGAACGGCATTTACTATAATATACAATATTATAATAATACGAGAAATAATTACGATTTACTATTATAATAATTAGGACGGTGTCGGTGGTCGGTAAAATAATAATATACCTAGTAGGTACTTACATTACACGATGTTGACTGTGGGACGACGTCGACGACAGTGCGGGGAATTTGCGCTTAATCGTTAATATTGTGTGCTTGCAATTATTATCATTTATCACCGTACATCGGACTCCGCTAGTCTTATCTGTGATTTTCACATTCATGCTAGTTAATTTTATGCATATTTAGGTATAAGTGAAAAAAAAAATCAAATATAAATCATACATTTGAGTATAAAATA